CACAATAAACAAGACTAAGAATTTATTTTTTAGTTATGCTATCACCCCTATATATAACTATGCAAACACAAATCACGACAAAACATTTGTTGTAATAAAATTAAAACGTTATAGTAGGTTTGACTTTTAGTGTATGATTTGTTTTTTTTCTGGTTCTAAAATGGTAACCTCACTCCCAAAAGGAGTATTTCTGAGGGACTCCCGGTGGCAAAGGTCAGGGGGTTAGGGGTAGGACTTCTGGCCCCAAGATGGTGACCACGGGACAGGGCAGCTGTCAAGGGGCGGGACTACACATGGGACCCTCAACAGCTCACCAAACCTTGTTAAGCAGCCCTCCACTCATAACTGCCCGCCCCTGTTCTAGAGTAAACTGCTCCTGGATTATTTGCATGTGTAGATGCACCCACTGTCTCCCTAGTATTTAATCCCCTTGAATACATTCATGCCTTTGCTATATACCACCATTCACATTTGTCATGTCAGGTAAGAAAAGGACATCCTCAAGGCATGGGAAGAGAGAAGAGCTGTTATTACAGGAAAAAGACAGCTCTTTCCCATGAGCACTAAATGTTTGTATAAGTAAATCTTCAACACCTACATCTCCAAGTTCCAACCACTCTCCCAAGCCTCCCACGTGACTTCCAAATACCACACATCTGACTAATCTTTGTCATGTCAAGTTTGATGTTCTAAGGAAAATCATTTTATAATCACTTAAACAAATGGAAAACATTCAACAGTATTTCCACCCTTCAATAAAAGTGTGGCCTAACTGAATGTCTCCTTTCACCCCAGGAAAAGGAGGGTTTCTCCAGCCCAGGCCACAGAAGCAGTAATCTGGAGAAGCCCTAGATTAAACAAATTTTCAGATAAAGCAGCAATTCATCAAGTTTCTTTCTATATGGCTAAACCCAGACAGCCAGGTTCTCAACATTACAATGAGGTGATCATAGGAATGTAGGGCTGGAAGGAACCTCACAAAGTCCTCTAGTCCAGCCCCATGCTCAAGACAGGATCACCCTTGACTAAACCATCCTAGCTAAGTGCCTGTCCAACAAGGTCTCAAATGTTTCCAAGGATGGAGAGTTTATAATTTCTCTAGGTAGCCAGTTCCAATGCCTGACCACCCTCATAATCAGAAATTCCTCTTTATCTATAACTTAAACCCCCCCTGCTGAAGCTTGAGACTAGTGCTCCTAGTCCTGTCCCCTATAGTCATAGAAAAAAAGCACACTGTTGGCTCATATTCAACTTATGGTCTACTACTGTAACCCCCAGGTCCTTCTCTGCAGTACTGCAGCCTAGGCAGTCACCCCCCACCCCCAATCTGTATTTATGCATGCAATTATTCCATCCCAAGTGCAGGACTTTGCACTTGTCCTTGCTGAATCTCATCTCATTGATTGCAGACTGTTTTTCTAGTCTATCCAGGTCATTCTGGATCTAGTCTTACCACCCAACTTGGCGTTGTCCACAAATTAGCTAATTGTGCACTTGATCCCATTATCTAAATCATTAATGAAGATATTAAATAATACCAGACCCAGGCAGACCTCTGGGGGACCCCACTTGCTACCTCCATCTAACTAGACATTGAACCACCAATGACTACTGGTTGAGTATGATGATCTAACCAGTCATGTATCCACCTGACAGTACTTTTGTCTAGTTGTATTTCCTTAGCTTGCTAATAAGTGTTGTGGGAGACAGCATCAAAAGCCCTGCTAACGTCAAAGTATTTCACATGCACTTCTCTCTCCACATCCACATGGCCTGTCACATGATCATAGAAGAAAATCAGGTTGGTCAGGCATGACTTGCTCATGCTCCCTGTTCCTGACTCATCTTGCTCTTCTTGGGCCAGGGCGCTGTAGTCTTTCCTAAGTACAGTATGTTCCTTTTCAACCAGACCAGGATATGGGGCCTGTTCCCGCTCCCACTAACTTCAGCGATAATTTTGCCATCTCCACCAGCAGAACAGAACAGAACAGAACAGAACAGAACAGAACAGAACAGAACAGTGTCCTTTGCCTTAACTGCTAAAAGGACTGAACACCCAAGTAATAACTAGGAAGCAAAAAGGATTAGGACTAAAAATACAAAACAATACAAAGGAAAGGAAACTTATGACATCTCCCCAGAAGTAGTAAGGAGCACAGGGCCTGAGAGTTCACCCTGTTTGGAAGAAAATGTGAGCTTCAGCCAGCAAAAGCTTGTGCCATATATACACTTGTGTCTGTGTACACACACACACACACACACACACACACACACACACACACACACACTTCACTTAGTCAAAGGTACAAACATATATGTATTTATTATATATACACCCACATACATACACATATATGGGTATGTATACACACACACACCCATATATGTGTACATACCCATATATATGTATGTGGATGTGCATATATGTACATATGCTTGTAACTTAAGACTAACCAAAGCATATGTGTGTACACACACACACACACTTGTACCTTAGACTAACCAAAGTGTGTGTGCAGGTGTCTGTGTTTGTACAGAGATATGTATGTGTACACACACACACACACACTTTGGTTAGTCTATAATGTGCAAACATACATATATACACATATGCACACAAACTCCCATACATATGCATACATACACACACACATACATTTATGTATGCATGTGTATATATGTATGTACACACACACAATTTAGTCTAAAATGTGCAAATACATGCACACGTGTGTGAATTTGCACATGTGTGTATATGTATATAGGGATGTGTGTATAAACATACATATACATATGCACATATACATATACTTACATACATGCGTGTATGTATACATGTGCGCATGTACACCCCCCCATACACACACACACACACACTTTGGTAAGTATGTATGTATGTATGTCTAAATGTGGGTGAGGACACAATCATGTATATCTGCACCTTAAGACCAGTGGTTTTCAATCCGTGGGCTGCAGACTATGTCTAAGGGGTCCAGAAAGATGACCGATCAACCAAAGGTATGTAAATACTCCCACTCACAATCCCCCGTTTCCGCCAAACGTCCAACGGGGTACCCCGTCCGGTCGAACCACTGCCTTGGACTAACCGCAGGGCGTGAGTGTGCGTGCGTGTGCATACATGCGTGTGTACACACACACACACACAGAGCGCGCGCTGTCCCCGCTCAGGGAGGCCCGAGGCCC